CATTCCTGCCCATGGCAAGGAGGTTGGATTAGATAATCTCTAAGGTCCCTTCCAACCTAAGACATTCTATGATTCTATGATCTATTTAGCACAAGTTTAACTACATTTACTGTGTCGAGCTCTGCTCATCTTATTAATTCCTTCTCTCAGGACACACTCTCAGGCATGTAGGAATAAGAGAAACAAACTGGAAAAAGCAGAACAACTTCCCCATGACCAAATACGTCACAAGGCTGGTAATGGATAAGATAGATGAGAAAGAAGTGGGTTTATGGTAAAAAATGCAGACAATAGAACTAAAACCAGGTAACTCAAACATTACTGCTTGTTTTCATCAGTAGGTCATCCAGTAAAACTGAAATACAAAATATCTTAAAATTTTTAAAAATTACTTTTGACACTAAACACAGACAAAACCATGTTTTTCATCAATATAATCTCATGAACTATGTCACAATCAAAAAAAAAAAAGTAAGTTTGATTTCATTTACAAGTAGTAACTTTTGTGTTTATATTGATATAGCATTCTTTAAAAGTGGGAATATAATTCCATATACAAATTCACAACTTGGTTTGAAAAGGAACTTCTCCTGAGAGCAGTCTTTTACGCCAGCTGGACACTGAGATTTCCTCATATGTTTTTTTCCAAAACTCACAGGTAAATGCCATTGATGGAAACACTGTACCTAACTTGAGGGACTTCTAGAGTCATCTAAACTCTAGACCTCTGGTCGACTTTGTTCTCTCCCTCTTTCACACCTCCTCACACTTTAAAAGTGCAACTTCTTGTCTAAACAAGCATGTTCCCTGCCCTTTCCCGAGAGCTGAAAACTCGATTTCAAACATTTCCTTGAATGCCTCAGCGTATTGAAGGCATTGCCATAGCTTCACTGAGGCATCTGCCAGTGATTTCAAAACTATTGCCCTGTCTCTCTCAAGAAATTCTTCCGTTTAAGAAATCAGCAGGCTGGCAGTACAGAAGATCTACCATATTATAATCCAGGTTTCCTTTTTTCTTTTCAGAACTGAGACCATGAAGGTGAGTAGAAGATACTATAGAAGAAGTACAAGGACATAGAAATCTAGAAGACCAGGTCAACCTATATCCTCATCACATGAAAACCCACCATACATTTAAAAACTATTTGAGGGTCAAATCAAGGGCAACACTCTGAAGATACAGAGGAGAGTGGAGGAGAAGAGATTTAAGGCAACATTTGCCAAGTAGAATAATATTATCAGTAAGGATATAATAATAATTAAATAAACCCAAGGAAAAAGAAAGAAAAAAAACAAACCAACCAAACCACAACAAGCATACTGGGAGAAAGGAAAGTCTCTGTCTTAGAGGGCCATTCATATCAAACAGTGATCACTGAGGAAATCTGAAAGCAAAGTTTCACCTGAAACACCTTGGTCCTGGCCTGACCCCTGCACCACCTCCTAAGGGGGAAATACAGGCAGCTGGATCACATTTTCACTGATTCCCATTTCTAACACATGTGGTGAATGGGTTGCATGGGTCAAGCAGCAGTAAGTATGTGTTTATGAGGAGCAACCAATACCAAGCACAAGCCTCACCAGGAGTACCTGCTCTCTCTTCAATGCAACTGCAAACCACCAACAAATCTGTCCGAGTGCCACAGCCCATGTTCAAAAGGCAGAGGCACACATGGAGGGTAAGATTTAGCACATAGGAATTAGATAGCCAGTGTAGCTACCTTTTAATCTGCAAACTGCTCAGTAACTAAATCATCTTAGTAGTGTTCACATGCTGTGTGTTATTGTGACATTACAGATTAAAAAGGTTGAATACCTCTCTGATATTTAAGGTCGAAGATTAATTTAAAACAAGACCAGGGCCATCACTGCAGTCTTAGTCTTCCTGCTTTCTCTAAAACCTGTTGGGTTGGCCTGGCCGGATTTTGGCAGCAGGAGGGAGCTGCAGAGTGGCTTCTGCAAGAAGCTGCTAGAAGCTTCCAGAGTTTGACAGAGCCAATGCCAGCCAGCTCCAAAGAGGGACCCGCCGCTGGCCCAGGCTGAGTCTTCACTCGCCGCTTGCCCAGGCTGAGTCTATCAGTAAAGTGATAGAAGAGGAACGCCTCTGAAATCATATTTAAGAATGGGGAAAAAAGAACTGTGCCACAACAGCTGGCACAGAGATGGAGGAGTGAGAATCTATGAAGACACCAAGGCCAGTGAAGCAGTAGTGGGGAAGATGTGCTCCAGGTGCTGGAGCAGAGAGTCC